TTCAGACACATATAAAACTATAGGATTAATAATACAACTCAGTTATATCTAAGCGCCCCTTTAAGAAACCATCAATGAAAATAAAACAAATAAACACCAAAAAAAGACTGTAACTATAGCATCAATCAGCAAGAGTTTTAACAGATAGTAATAAAAACAGCAGAGCTTGATAGAAAAAGGCTATTATAGCCAGACAAAAATCCCCCAGCCCAACATTACATGACTCCCCAAAATATAAACATTCATGCTTTCATAAAATAGACCCATTGATAACCAAAAAAAAAAAAAAAAACAACAGCAAAAAATAGATTATACCTTCTAAAAATTAGTAAAAACATTTCTTCACTTAGTTATTCTAAACATCGCTTGAGGTTGAAAAGGTGCTCTAAAGTTTTAAGTTTAATACTGAAATTAAACTTTAAGACTTGAGTCAGTTTCAAAACATAGTAATTTCTCTGTCGCGTTGGAATCATATTTTTTTTAAAATTATTATAATTTTAAGCTCTACTTCTGTATCGAGCACTGTTTTTTTTAAAATAAAGCATAAATACTAAAGAACTTTGAATCATTAATCTAACAGTTCTTTCCTATTACAACGGCAAAGCAAGATAACACATATTTTTATTCTGCATAAATACATAGGTGTAACAACAAAATTGTCCAAATCGTGTCACAACGTAATTGTCTATCCCACAATATCTAAAGAACCATTAAACTGATTTTCTTTTTCCAGGTTTTCAGATGAGGCGTTTAGCCCTCTTGACACTGTTTGTCGTAAGAATCACTGAAAAATCCTTTGAGTTATTCAGCTAGAAAGAGAATTGGTTAAAATCGTTTTGTGTCAGCCCCTCTATGTCTTCCCAACTGAGCAATGGTGAGAGGAAAAAGATCATTCAAGCCTTCAGTAATGGTACCAACATTCATACTCTGGCTTCCATCTTCAAAGTCAATTGAAGATCCCTCATTTTAAAACACCATTCTCTTGATGGAACAGTAGGGAAGAAAACTGGATCAGGAGGTCACAACAGCAAGAGGGATCACCATTTCAACTCAGATCTTAAGAGATAAATTAGAAAAGAGCCAACTCAATTCATACGACGTACGCGAGAGAGGAGTTTTGTGACGTCGTTCCCCGGTCGCAGCACCAACTGTGACGTTCTATCCTGATCTACCACGGCGCCAGTTGTGACGTGGCCGTTCCAGGGTCCTATCCCTGTCACGACACCAGTTGTGACGTCCCTAAACAGCACCAATTGACGTCTTCGCCGCGGCGCCAGCTGTTCGCCCTCGCTGCTCCGTCTGGGTTTCGCTGCTCCAAACGTGACGTTCGCCTGTCGCGTCAGTCGTGTTGTCTCGTACTGTGACGACCAACTGGCTTGGTATCGGTCGCGGCACCCAAATGTGACGTTCTAACCTTTTTGGTGATTCGGGTGGGAATCTGGTTAGATTTGATATCAGCCTCGCCGTTCCCAACTCGCTTCCAACGCCTGGTCACCAAGGTAACTGCACTGATCTCCAGTCTGCCTACCCACGTTGTGAATTGATCTTAGACAGACGAGATCAAACAGGGGTTGGGGCCGTAATGCAAATTGAGTTCAACGGGGGTGATAACACACAAAATATGCATAAAAGAAAATAAAATGAAAACTCAAAAGTTCAAAATATCAAAGAAAAAGGTAACAAACTTTATGTCTAGTTGTTCGATATATAGGACTGCATCTATCTCCCAACCCGTTCTGTGGATTGTGACACGTCGCTTTCGCTAGGCAAGTTTTAACGCTTCAAGTTGTTTGCTCTCTAAGAAATTTGTGTTTCGGTGTGTCTTTGGACGAAAGTCGAAAAAAAACAACTTATTTCTGTGGTCTGGTTCTAAGTCGCTCTTCAAAATAATTGTTCTTGGTTGAAGAGGAGTCCAAAATTTTGCGTGAATCTTGGTCAGCTATCTTGAGGCGGCTTCAACTCTGGAAACTGGGGCTCGAACTTTGGATACTCATCTCTGCCGCCAGGGCCGAACGAACTACTGGACACTCATCTCAGCCGTCAGGGCTCGAACTTTGGATTCTGCCTGTTGGGGCCTGGTTTTTATTGACACCGAAAAAACCGGGTTGGGTCTGTTGGCGTCGGGGAGTTCCTCGATAATTCTAAATACATATCCACCTCTTTTTATTTCTGGTTAGGATTTTCCACTTTTTTCCATTTTTGGTAACTTTTTTTTTTCACTCCCCTTTCTCACCATGCTTCTGAGGGGCGTGAACTGCCCTCCCCACTTCTTCGTAGCGGCTTCATACTTATACTCTAGATGGGGGCGTCAACAGCCTTCTTCGTGCGTCACGTGATCACTCTCGGCCAATGAGGTCTTGGTCGGGTATCTTTCTCCTCCTTCGTGCGTCATGTGATCACCACTTGACCAATGACGTCTTAGTCGGGCGTGAACAACCCCGCGGCTTTGTTTCGGAAAAAATACTTTGCTTAACTAAAAATTAATTATCTCTCCTCTTCCTCTTTTTCTTCCTTTCAAATCGCCGTTATCATGAACGGATAATATGACAACTCTTTGTTCAACACGTGGCGTTTGTCAAGCAGTTTATCGCTAATTCATCAGACGGCTGGTTTTCCGACATGGCCTCAGAAAAGAATTTTCTCCAAGTTTTCAGTCGGTCTGACGTCTCCAAAGAAGAAATAAAAACATTTCTTATTCCATTCATTTTCCTTCGGTTCATGTGTCTGATAACAAAATTTTATTATCGCGGGGCAAAAGTTTGTTTTGTCGAAAAGAGTTTAATTAGCGAGACTGTTTGTGTGGGATTTTAATTTTCCATATCTAGCTAAGGCTCCGAGCTACACCTGTGTTTTGTCAATTATCAAAATCTAACGTTTTCAAGTGGACTTTCTTTGGCGAACATTTCTTGATAACACAATTCCATTCGCGCAGGCCAAGTAGGAAAATCGGTCAATGATTACTCGTAGGTGACCCTTTAATTTTCATATCTGTCCAAAGCCTTTTTTAGTCGCCTGTTTCTTGTCGTCACTTATCGAAATAACATTTTCGCTTGAATTTTTCCCTTGGCCGGTGGCCTGTGTTATGATAATAAGATGCCTTCCCGTACCAATAGTTTGTTTTCATATCCTTAGATAACACTTCCCTACCCACTCAATCTCATTGTCATTGTAATGACACTCTTTTCGCCATTTGCCACTTATCCAAAATAACCCTTTTCTTTTTTTATTGCCTCTCTTAAGCCGTGTGTGTGTGTTCGCTTATCACCTATGATCCGTCTCGCATTACTTTTTCCCTTCCTTTCTTTTTTTCTTTCCTTTTCCCTTTTTGCCTTTCTTTCTCTGCCTGGATGCATGGTGCCACAGTTTCAGCTATGATAGTTGAAAGAGCAGTGGAAAAAAAACTTGAAACTGAAATCCTACGTGAAACGTGTGTGATACCTTGTTACTCCAGAACAGAAAGTTAGAAGGTTAGAAAGGGCGAAGATCATCTTAAATAAGATGGAAGATAAATGATCCTGAATATATATATATATATATATATATATATATATATATATATATAAATTTTGAATTTTTATTTGAATATACGGCCTGATGAGTTCGAACCGATATCGGTTCTACCGAAATAAAAATATGACCATGATCTCAAGAAGTCTCCGTTTATATATATATATATATATATATATATATATATATATATATAACATTTTTTCAATCCTTCATGAGCTTCGGATCCTTAGCTAGGATTAATTAATGATAAACATTTCATTTTCGTTTACACTCGATTTCATAACAATTTAGCGGCAAATACTTTCTTAGTGTTAAAAGAAGAATCCATAAAACCCAGGAGAAATCCAGTAAGATATCTTTTATCATTTCTAAGATACAAAGGTTCAAAGATTAATTTAACAATTGGACACTTTTGGTGTTACACAATTTGGACAATTTTGCTGTTACAACAATTGATATCGAAGTTGTAAGTTTACGCAAATATTCCTGAGCAGGCGTCTCTCAACAGGGATTAGTTAGCCCCATCCCCTGGCAGATTGGTGTACTCAGAAACGGAGAGATAGTTATTATGATTCAGTGTCATCCCAGCTGGTTTTAGAATTTATATTGCAGTTGATTTTTTTTCTCCATTTTTCCCAGGTTATAGAATTCAAAGTATTGACTTGTTTGTTTGTTTTTACTTTTCGTCCTTAAAGATGTTTTTAGTTTTGGGCGTCAGAGATTTTTGCAGAAATAACAGTAATCTAGTATTAATAAAAACAGTGTAGGTGAGAATGCCAGCCCCATTAAACTTGTGGAACAAAAACAATGACTCATTTCAGGCGTGAGTCGAGAATTTATAGAGAAAGCAAAGTGTGTACGACGAACAGACGTTAAAAAACATGCAAAGGTATGGACAAAAACACAATGTTAAAGAAATCTTAGAAGTGTCTTTAAAGTTTATTCAGCTTCTTATTGCTTATGAAATCCGTCAGCCGCACGACTTTGTCGTTGATTTGAGTTTTGTTTTACATTGTAATGGTAACAGTTGTTTCTTTATAAGGAAACACTCGGTAATTATTGATCCACAAGATACTTTTGGTTAAAATTGAAAAATTCTTGATTTCAAAACAATTTTTCAGGAAAGTAGGCTTTTCAAGTGCACTGTTATCGCTCTTTCTAGCATTGATTGATTGTTTGATTGATTCATTTTTTACGGTTTATCAACCCTTTGCATGTTATTTAAAGCCAGAGAATAGTTTGAGATTCTATGATTTTTTTTAGATAATAATGACATAGTGATACAATTAACTAATTAATTAATAATTAACCCATAATTAACTAACTTACTAATTAACCTACAACTGGGGGAGAAGAGGGGGATTTATACCTTTACCAACAGTATTTGCTGTTGAAAGTTATGTGATTTCTTTTATTTGGGAAAAGTTCTTTATTTTTTGATTAGTTAGAGTGAGTCGTTTTCTACGGTTTATCAACCCTTTGCAGGTTATTTAAAACACTGGTTCCAGTTCGACCACCGAGGTTAAGCAACGTCGATCTTGGTCAGTACCTAGATGGGTGACCGTTTGGGAATACCAGGTTCTGTAAACTTGGATGTGTGGGTGGTGTAATGTAAAATGGCTCGGAATCGTTAATCGGATAGCAGAGTTCGTTATATTCACTTACGCGCAAATACCCTTGAGAAAAGCATGAATTTACCTCTTTCCCCCGGCTATGGGTTAATTAGTAACACTTGTATCAGTAAAACGTTATTATCCCCAAATAAATTGTTACAATCTAAAAATATTTAGATTGCAAATGCAACACAACGAACAATCATTGCACCAGATTGCAAATGCCACACAACCAAACATCATTGCAGCAGATTGCAAATGTAACACAACCAACAATCATTGCACATACATTGCAAATACGGTCAACAATGATTGCACCAGATTGCAAATGCAACACTACCAAAAATCATGGCACCATTTTGCAAATCCAACACAACCAACAATCATAGCACCAGAGTTCAAATGTAACACAGCAAACAATCATGGCCTCTGATTGCAAATGCAGCTAGCCCAAAAATCATGCAACCAGATTGCAAATGCAACACAGCTAACAATCAGGGCACCCGATTGCCAATGCAAGACGGCCAACAACCATGGCACCAAATTGCCAATGTGTCACAGCTAAATATCATGAGAGCAGATTGTAAATACATAACGGTTAACAATGATGGTACCAGATTGCAAATGCAACATGGCGAAAAATTCTGACAACAAATTGCAAATGCAATACGCTTAACAATCATGGCACCAGATCGCACATACAACACCGCCAACAATCAGTGCACCAGATTGAAAACGCAATACGATTAACAATCATGGCACGAGCAAATGCATATGCAGGTATGCAGATTAACACTAACACTGCCTGCAATGTACAATGACAGATCGGCATCTCCTACATGTTGAAAATATTTCTAGAGAAATTTTAATCGAATAAAATTTTAAAAAACCCAAAGAAACCGGAATATTTCTTTGAGAACAGAATGGGAAATTGGACTAAAACGTGGTGTAAAATAATAAAATGTTAGGAGAAAGAAAAGACAGAAGTAGTAAAGAAGAGAAAGTAATTTGTGAGGCTTTAATGGGATACGTTGAACTGATTGAATATAAAGAATGAATGACAAAAAATAAGAGAGGAAAGAAGGAAAGAAAGATGAAAAGAAAAAAGAAGAAAAGAAAGAAAGGAAGAAGAAACCAAAGAAAGAAAAAACAAGGGAATAATTTGGAATGATTTAATATAAAGAATGAATAATTAAAAATGAGAAAGAAAAGAGGGAAAGAAAGGACAGAAGAAATAGAGGACAATGAAATGAAGGAAGGAGAAAAGAGAGAATAATTTGGACTGATTTATCATAAAGAAGGAATAATAAAAAATAAAGAGAAAAGACGGAAGGAAAGAACAGAAGTATGAAAAAGAAGAATGAAAGAAAAAAAAGGAAAGAAGGAAAACAAGAAGTAAAAGAGAATTATTTTGGACTGAATTAATATAAAGAATGAATAACAAAAATTCGAAAGAAAAGAAGGAAGGAAAGAACAGAAGAAAGAAAGAAAGAATGAAAGAAAGAAAGAAAGAAAAAGCAAAAAGGAGTTTGGCTTGGTTTGTTTGTTTTACGGCATATCAACGTCAATAGGTTATTTAAAGCCAATAAAATTTTTATTGCTGGTAATAAACTTTTTTTCAAAAATGTATTTCTGGTAATATTTTTTTTATTGCTAGTAATAATGTATTGCTGGTAATAATTTTTCCTAAAAAATACCTTGCTGGTAATAATTTTTTACAAAAACGTACTGCTGGTATTAAAACCTATTTTTACCCTTTGATAGTGTTTTGACCCCAGTTCGGGATTTAGCTATTTATCCATAGCTGGGCCCTAACATGTGCTACCACTCCGGGTCACGATAGACCTGGGAACACCAACAATTAAGAGATGGTTCCACGCTTCTCAAGACCTCCTGAACAGAGGCCTTGCTGGTGGACGTAGTTTATCGTCTTACACATGATGCGGATGTAGTTTATCGTCACACCCAGGACGTCAAAAAGGAGTTATTTGAACTGATTTTATACAAAGAATGAAAGGAAGAAGAGAAGTAGGAAATAAACGAGAAAAGAAAAAAGGTGGGAAAAAAAGGAATATTTGAATGAAAGAGATGGGGTAAGAAATAATGAAAAAAAAAAAAAACAACAAAGAACGCAGACAAAATAAATAAGTAAATAAAAAGATTAGGAGAAAGAAAAAAATAGAAAGTATAAAATAACTTGCTTGAAAAACGAAAAAAAGAAGAACAGGGATGAAAAAATAGAAAAAAGAAAAAGAAAAAAGAATGAAAGCCGAAGAAACAACAGCAATACCAATAATAATAATAATAATAATAATAATAGCAAAATAAACGCGTAACACAAAGAGGGAAAAATAACGTCTGTTTTATTTATTATTTTTTTGACTTTTAAAACCTGCCATCTTAACTGGTTGTCAGCAGCGACACAGCGAACAATAACGAACACCAACAAAAAAAAACACTGATTTATTTATTTATTTATTTTTAACACTTTAAAAGCAGGCAGTTTCTCCAACGGTAAAAATTTGCCAGAATTTAAATTTCAGAAACTGTCATGTTCAATTGCCGGTACAAAATGGCATCAATTTGGGTCTGATTAATGATAATTTGCTATCAATTTAGAACTAAATTTCCCCTGTTAGCATTTGTGCTTCGAAAAAAAAAAAAAAAAAAAAAGAACAAATGAAAGGCACGAAAGAAAAAACAAACAAAAAAAAAAACAACAAAAAACAAAAAAACACCCCCCCACAAAAAAAGGTTTGATTAAAAGAGAAAGATGGAGACATTTGCTATCTCATGGCTGCACACGGAAAGAAAGATTTGTGACCAGATGAATTACGTACGTTTTGTTTTGACAAAAAAAAAAAATAAATAAACTTAAAAATCTCAGCGCATTTACCTTTTTCCTTTTTAGCATTGCAAAAGAGGAAAATGCGACACTTAAGAAAATGCAACGAGAAAGAAATTCCTATTAACACAGTCAGAGATAGAATGGCGTATTATTATTATTATTTTTTTTTTTCTAAACAGCTTTAGAAAATTACAAATAGTTTCAAAAACTATGAGAGTAACGCTAAATTTAGCCATTCCAGTATATACAAATTTGATGTCCAAAAGCAGTTCAACTAATTTGAACTTTCACTGCGACCATTTTAGAAATTGCGGGATCGATGTTTAAAGAGACTATAAATAAGAAAGAAACAAAGAGAAATGTCAGCAAGGCTTCCGCATCAGCAACAGTAGAAAAAAAAGAGAAACCTCGATGAATGAAATCAAGAGTGTCAAGCATCAGCAGTAGTCTCATCAAAAGGCAGATTAGATTTAATACACCGAGTTCTACACCCAGGATTGTCCCATGGGATAATACACCTAATAGATTAAAGTGGCCGAAACGTTGTAATAATATCAACAAAGATGAAAGCAGAAGAACGAAAGAAAGAATGAAAGAAAGAAAGAAAGAAAGACAAAAGCAGAATGATTTGAACTAATTTAATATAAATAATGAACGACTAGAATAAGAAAGAAAAAAAGGAAGCAAAGAACAAAAGAAAGAAAGAAAGAAAGAAAGAAAGAAAGAAAAAGAAAGAGGGATACTTTGAATTGACTTAATATACAGAAACAATGCCCCCAAAAAGAAAGAAACAAATAGATATTACAGCAAGGCCTCTGTAGCAGCAACAGTCAAAAAGAGAAACCTCGGTGAATGCAGACAAGAGTGAGAAGCATCAGCAGTAGTCACATGAGCAGGCAGATTGGGGTTTAAGACACCAAATTCTACACTCATGATTGTCCCATGGGACAGTAGCGCAATGGATTAAAATGGCCGAAACGTTGTGATAACAACAACAACAACAACAACGAGGAAATAGTAATAATGTAAATAAGGATAAATATTCATCCTAGTAATTTTTATAGCGGAATAATTTAAATGCGGACACACACACAACATGCGGAATAATTTAAATGTGGGGACACACACACAAACATATATATATATATATATATATATATATATATATATATGCTGTAACAATTTTTGACGTTAACAATAAAATTAAAAAAAAAATCCAGACGACATGCATTTAACGTGTGTTAGATTTCATTGAAAAATACATCCCTACCCCTACCAAAACGTAACTAATAACGGATACATCAAAATACAGACATAATGAACAAGCAAACACCCCTTGTCTGGTTGAAGTGGATTTCTCTGTATCCTTGGAAACGTGAATTATGATTTTTGCTGTGTCTTTAAAACCCAGTAATTTAAAAAGTTACTCCAAAATTCGCTTGAGGATGAAATGGAACTAATGTCTTTAATTTAATTACAAAATTAAATTCGAAGCTTTCAGCTTCCATTTTTGAAACATGGTTAGGACTGTGTAGCGAAATAAACCATATTTTAAATCAATTAATTTATAATATTAATGCTCTGTAAATTTACATTGAGCACTATTTTGTAAAAATAAAAATATCTATAGGAACACCGGATTATATATCTTACTGTTCTTTCTTTTTTTTCACACACACACACACACACACACACACACACACACACACACACACACACATATATATATATATATAATCAAAAAAGTTAATGGTCAGAGTTTAATTAGACCAGGAAACATTAGATTTAAAATGTGCTCAATACACATATAAAAAAATTAACATGCAGAGCTTTTAAGTCTAAAAAATTAAGAGATCAGCCAATTCCGTTGAACCTTTCGGTATCTTCAGACGATTTCAGTCAACCGATTTTCTAACGCTTTATTTCTTTTTTTTTAAATTAATGAAGGCTATAATAAATATTTAATGATAGGTGTGATAGAAGGGAAGGAGGTGTAGGAGAAGAAAAGTAAAGTTATTGGAACTGTATCGGTGCGGGGAGAGGGATTAAATGAAATGTATATACTTTCTTTCCATCCTGGTTCATATGAATTCAAGAGGAACTTTTTGGTATGTATGCAACGGATCATAATTTCCGATCTCTCATTCAAAAGTTTTTTTTTATTGGAAATGTTATTATAGCTAACTTTTCTTGTTGACAAATGTTGCAGATATTACTATGGCTGTTGAAAGTTTTTCTGTTTACAATTGGATCTTTGTTATTTTTTCTTCATTTTCCACACATGGTTAGTTAGTCCAGTAGAATTGCTAAGACTTTCTAGCTTGAAAAATAACTTATGATTATGCTACCTCTTCTTACAGTTATCTTCAGTACACCCGATGTATATTTTTTTCTGGCTATTTGTGTCTATTATTTCTGCTTTTTTAAAATGTTGTATAATTGTTTTTATTTTTGTTTCTGCTTTCGCAATGATATTGTTGAGTTGTTGGGAGTGTTCCCGCGTGTGTGTATTCGAATAAAGACAAACACATTTGTAGGGATAAATACTGGTATATTTGTAAGAGGTAATTAACAACAGAGTGATTAGTAATAAGGAACGCCGGTTAGTAAGTAACAATAGCAAAAGTCTACAGTCCAACGGTATGTAATGGTAACCTGATCTCGACTGCTGTCGATGAACCTGATCCTTCACACAACACAACTACTCTCTCTAGCACTGATTTATATCGTAGAGGGATAAGTCCATTATCAGTCAGAAGTTGGGTGCGCCCCAACATATATATATATATATATATATATATATATATATATATATATATATATATATATATATATAGTGAATTGGATCCAGGGCATCAAGTCGCGAATGTTTTGTTATGTACGGCCTACCGTAATATTTCGTCACTTGCAGTTTGTCAACAACTCCAGAAGCTACTTGGTACTGCAACGCCTGCGTAAGAAAATGAATCCCTCACAACAAAAAGTTGTTTTTCTCTGCTTTTCAATAATAAAAAGAAAATAATTTTGGTTTAATCTTGTTCATAATTCATCAAAATATCTGTTCCTGTTTTAACGAGATGTAGACATTGTTATTTTAAATCTTTAAAAAATGTTTAAATAGGTTTCTTATCGCTTGACGACAGGTCTCAAAAAATAACAAGAAACTTATTTAAACCTAGGCAGGAATGTTTATTAGTACTTTGATGACGAAATCCTAGATTCAATAGGAAAACTCATGGTAAAATATATTAATCTTTTTACATATATATATATATATATATATATATATATATATATATATATATATATATATATATATCGCATCGTATAATCTTGCAATATATATATATATATATATTATATATATATATATATATATATATATATATCCGACAGTATGAAGAAAAATATACGGTAAAAAAAAAACAAAAATCCTAATATGCAATTATGCTGTTAATGTAATGTTAATATAATGTCAACGTCAGACGTTTCGGTCTAGTAGACCATCTTCAGGGCATATTCATAAAACATAATTAACATTAGACTATATTTAATTCAACATGAAAAGACGATGGACATAAGAGTAAGACTAATCAAAACAGACAACTGAAATTTTTCAAGATCAGCGTTCCGTTTCAATATGATCACCGAGGCGTCACGTGGGCGATGTTGTGAAAACGTATTCCTAAAATATAGTATTTTGAATGAAAAATGAAAACAATTTTATTTTGATCTAAAACTTATATGTAGGTTTAAAATAAAATTCTTTTCATTTTTATTATTTAGTTATTATTGCGATGAAGGCCTAATCAAGAGCCCTCCGGAGGAGTTAGCTTAAATGCCACCCGATAGGCCGGATATTAAGCCTATATATATATATATATATATATATATATATATATATATATATATATATAAATTCCCAAGAGGATAGAATCCAGGTAGAATTCAATGTCCAGGATAGCGTAAGAAGATAATATAAAAGGCTCAAACATTGATATTCCATGGTTATAATTTATCAGATGATGAATTGGATCGTGATTACGATTCCAATGTAATAAATTATAACCATGGAATATTAATGTTTGAGCCGTTTATATTATATATATATATATATATATATATATATATATATAATACCCAAGTATAGGATCTATAAACAAAAATACAATTCTTAAAAGAGTACTCAATACAGAGTAGAGCATAATTCGAAAATTATAGCATAAACATATTTGTTATAATTTTCGAATAAATTATATATGTATATATAAAGATTATTATTACTATTTTGTCATGTTCTGCAAAATTTATCACACTAGCGCAGTCGAATTAAATGTTTACAGTTAATTAGTTACAGGCTTATAAGATAAACATTATTACGCCGGGATAATGTCCACAATGCCTAGGAAAGCGTACTTGTCGCTGATTGTCTGAGATTAGAATTGTATAATTACGCCAACTGAAGAAATTTAATAATCTCCGGTGAGAGATATTGTGTCCTTACTCTAGAATGAAATTAATTTGAAAATGTAGACTGCAAGCAATAATAATAATAATAATAATAATAATAATTGTGAACGACCAAGTCAACATCTCGTGAGATTTCAGTATCCAAACAGACCGCTCCCTTGATGTCAACCAATCAGGCATCAGCATCGTCGACAAAGAAAGGAAAAAATGCCTGCTTATTGACGGATCCGGCTACTGGGGGACCTAATATCATCGTTAAAGAAACTGACAGGCTAAAGTAATACATCAACCACCGAGCTGGAGTATTGTCTCTGTTACACTTCGGACATTGAAGTCTATACCTTGTTGTTGTTGTTGTTGTTGTTCTTCTTCTTCTTCTTCTTCTTCTATTGAATATACTTTCTTCTTTTTCTTCAGGTCTTCTTCCTTTTCCTCCTTTTTCTCTTTCTTTTTCTTCTTCTTCCTCCTTCTCCTCCATCTTCTTCGGACATTGAAGTCTATACCTTGTTGTTGTTGTTCTTCTTCTATTGAAGTCTATACTTTCTTCAGACGATTTCCGATTGCAAAAGATAAACCGTGGGAAAGGTTGCACGATATTGTCACCCACTGAATATAAAACCCGGCATGACAGAGTGGGCCAATATCTGCACTGGAAAATATGCAACTTCTACGGGAAGGAAACTGAAAGAAATTGGTATGAACACCACCCAGACCCGTTTACGGAGATAGGACCTGTTACAATTCTGTGGGACTGCACAATACACACTGACAGAACAATCAAAGCCAACCGCCCGGACATTGTTATTAAAGACCACAAACAAAAACAGTGCCTCCTTATTGATATGGCAGTCCCTGCTGACTGCAATGTATTTTTGAAGATATTCAAAAAGCTGTCAAAGTACAAGGACCTTGAAATAGAAATCTCGAAAATGTGGCATATGGGAACATCAACAATCCTTGTTGTGGTTGGAGCCCTAGGACTGGTTGGAAAAGATTGTAGTAGACTAATTGAAGGGATTCCTGGAAGTCCATGCCTCAAGGAGATACAAAAATTATTCTGACAAGTACAGCCCACACTTTACGAAGGGCTTTATTCATGTAATCTTTTTTTTTTTCAGTGGAAAGTGTCATGATGCCATTTCTAAACTAAGGTCCCTGGGCGGGACCCGGAAAGAAATGTGTAAACGCCAGAAATCAAAGGAAATAATAATAATAATAATAATAATGATGATGTAATATAATACTAATAATGTAGGAATACACACAGACAACAATTAAAGCTAATCCAGACAACAACGTCCAGACATCGTGATTAGGAACAGCAAAAGCAATAATAATAATAA